CAAAAATTATTATAACAGGAAAACCATCTGAAGGCAAACTGGATTTTTCGCCGCCCCCCCCCCCCCCTAAAAAAAAAAATACCGGGACAGATCTCAGCTGCGAGGAACAGCGCGGATCCGCCGCCTGCTGCCGCCGTTGAAACAAAGCGGCCTTTTTTGGCGCCGTCCAGCCTCCTGTCCTGCATTGTGCCTGCTTTCTGGACTGTCCCGCTCCAAAAATGCCCCCTTTCCCCCGGAAAATGCCGTCCCTAAACTTTTCCTGGGCCACACGGCAGCCGGTGCCTTCTGCAGCGTGGGGACGTGCTGGCTTTGCCGGACCACTTTCGTTTCCCTAATCTGTGTGCCATTTCACTCTCCCTGGCCAGAAAGAAAGTCCCAACCCGTTACAGTGAGGCACCTGCAATATCTCAGCACCAACCCTTCTCTCATGGTTATCTTTAGAAAGATACACAACCACTGTTCTCTGCTGATTCTCTCTCAAATTCACCTCTGTCCATATTTCATATGCAGAGATCAGGGACTTAACCAGTATGATCAAAAAGAACCTGTACAATCAAAAAGTAAAATATCACTTTTAAATTTGACTCCCTTGTACAGTGGTGATTTGGAAATCTGTGTGGAACAAATCAATTACGGTGATATCCATTTTCTTCCATCGGAACAGGATCTAAAAACATAAACTTCAAGCTTGAAATTATTTTTAAGTATACACAGTTGAGCTGTCAATAAAAATATTATTATATATTCATTTCAAAATTAAAATGCACTAGACTGACCCTAAGACATATTTTGGAAAATAAAATGCATAAATTTTGGTCATCAAAATTTTTTCCACCTTGAATTAACTACACCAAAGCTAAGTTATCATTTAATATAATTGAATGTTCAACTTAAATCATATAAAATCTTAATTTAATTTTTTAAATTATATAGCTACTGTTTTTCTTACCCTCTTACAGGATTTAAAGGTTCTCCCTGCAGAGTTACTTATTACATGGAGTAACTAAAAGGAAAGCCAGCTTCTTTTTTTTGCAAAATGCCCCGTCAATCACAAGTCAAAGCACAAAACAGGTTATGTCACTCTAAAAACAGAGAAAAAAAATGTTCTCGTTTAAAAATATTCAAAGCATTAAAATCATAGACCGCACAGGGATAACATAGTTTACCTTCTTCTCAATATGTTGCCTTACCGTTTATAGTCAAAAAATCATGTCACGATAATCAGGCTTGGCAACTATAATTATATATGTGGACACCTAAGTATTCGTATTCATCTACTTTCAAAAGCGTCAAAAAAATGAAGTGTTTTTAACACAGATAATTTACAGATATATTGGTCAAACTTTGTGCCATTGTTTTAAGTGACTAAAACAAAATGAAAATATACAAATGCCATTTAGAAAATGTAATTGTAAAATGCAACATTGTTTCCTTGATAAAATTATTTTCAATAAATTGGTAAAATAAGTAAGCTTTGTGTAAAAAAAAAAAACCGTGGAAGTTTTTGAATTTTTGAAATAACGAAAAACTGTTTTAAATCTTACATTTTTCCGCAAAAACAGACCTAGCGAATATTAATAAAACCTATTTTTGTGCGCACCACAAAAACAGAAAATATCAGAGTAACTTGATTCAATGGGATTGTAATAAGTAAAATTTATCAGTCAGCTCGCCAGAACAATCAAAATGTAGAATTTATTTTAAATCAATTGTAAAAAAGAAATAAAACAAAGTTTTCGTTAACTCTTTTTCCCTTATACGCCGACGACGTTTCAGAAACCGACAAAGATTTCATTAGTTTATAAGTAACCTTTTTTTTTTAAGTGAATTTTATGAAAATTCTAATGTTAGGTTGAAAAGTAAATATCCGGCTGTTTAGCAGTTACTCTTCAGCTTTAAAACTCCATCGTTTACTGCTTTGTTCCGAAGCAGTTTGCATTTTAAAGCAAGTGTGTAAATTTCTGTACAACTATTTACATGTGAAAGGATTCGTGCCCCGCAAAGCACACTGCAAAGCACCACCTAAAGCACCTGGGATGCCAAATTAATAAACTTAATTAAACTGAATTTTGTTTAAATACATCCTAACAAAAATAAACCATTTACATTTCAGCATACCGCCATACTTATAATCGCTTTAAAAGTCCAGGAGTTACTCACCTCTTTTGCAAACTGCGGGCACCTTATGCAATACCTATCTTTATTTTGCTTTTAAGAATAATAATAGTGCCATTGATAGTGCTAAAAAATACTTTAATCTAACTGCGATGTATTTTGCTTTGAACAGGACATCGGCAGAGGCCTTATTGTGAATTATTATCCGCTGTACCGGCGCAATTAAATGAATCATTTTCCAGAAGTACGCCATTGTTCACTATTAAGTTACGTTATGAGGTGCTTTTTACAACTTTATCATATTGGTAAAATGAATCACATATATCTGTATGGGCTTACAGTATGAATGGGATATTACGGATGGTGAAATCCTCGTTTAGACAAAACTTACCGCAGCGACAGTATAACGCCGTTTAGTATGATTGAAATAGACAGAAGCATCCCCCTCCACCGGTTAAATAATGAATATTTTAAAGCTGTTTCAATTTATCCACGGAAAGATGACAAAAGAATATTGGTTAAAAGTTCAACAACATTAATAAAAAACCTTTTAGTATTCAATAGACTTACCATCTGCAAATTTATACTTGGCTTTAGTAATATACTGGTCTTTTCGAAGGATTAAGATCAATATTTAAAAAAAAAAAACCCTTCAAGCAGTACAAGGTAGAACAATATACAGTATCATGGTTAAGAAGTTTAAAAGGTGCCTCTGTTATTAGTAAAATTCGCATGAATTAATTCACAGCTAGTATCTGTACTGCCACTAACAATGAAAAAAGTTAATATTAACGAGGCAAAAATTTAAAAAGATTTTCACCGCCAGCACTACTCCCATTTAAACGAACTTCCCCTGGAAACAAAAGTATTAAAATTGCGGCGATTATACAAACATAAATAGATGATTAGAATAAATAATTAGATATCAACCTGTTAGGAAATAGCGAAGAAGTGAAGTTTCACGCTACTGGCTGGACCATGTGGATATTTCACTTCCAGGTTTGGAGAATTGTCCCAGCGATCCCAAAAACGGTGGAAAAAAAGGAAAATAAAAGAAAAAAAGAAATCTCGATCTAAGATTGATATGGCAAGACCATAACTCGGCGTGAGGAGCGTCTTTACGAGTCCTTCCTTGATGAGCGTCCTTTCTTACACTGATCACTCACTTGGTGAACAATAATGGTGCACTAGCTCAGGGGCTGCATTGCATGCTCACCCTCGCTGGAAGTTGCATGAGAAATAGCACGCAGCTTCAGTGCTTCTCGCTGCACTTTCCTGTCCCGTTTTTCTGTCCCTTTTTCTCTCTTTTCTTCAATGCATAAGCACTCCAGAAGTCCCGCTGATGTTCCTCGCTCGGCTTTTTGGCATCTCGTCCGTCCCTTGCTCGTTCGGGGGAGAAATCAGTGTTGAATTACTCGGGTTGTGTCTGTTGTTGGAGATATGTTAGGGACAGTTTAGTCTACCGTAATTCATCTAAAACAGGTGCGCGTCCACAATTCCCCCGCCCGCTGCCTGACGCTTGCTGTAACACAATAACAAAACAGCGCTGCCATGTGCGCTTCGCTCTCGCCACTGCTCTTTTAAACTCCTTTTTCCGCAGCTAACGCTGCATTTAGCCACTGTATTGGCCGCAGAGCCGCAAAACTTAGCAAGATAATACCTTAAAAAGCTTAAAACCTCTAACTACGTTGAATTGTTTTATAAATAGAATACAGTCGTTTTGTTTCAACTCTCATTTGCGTTGTCTCCCTAAAAGTTGCGATCGCTGTGGTGCACCGTAGCACGATACCGTGTTCTAATTTCCTAGTCTTTTTCTCTGGTCGTCATAAATGAGTTCGTGTTCTAGTTATTAAAACTTGTCGATACGGCCATTTAGAATTGTTTTAAAATGCAAGGTGTCCTTATAATTTAGTAAAGTGTATTGAAAGTGCACTTTAACGATGCATCCTGGAAGTTGGGAGTTTGATTCATTGCACGTAATATATGGGCAGAATAATTTCACCTCCTTTTTTCCACGCAAACAAATGTCTCCATCGTTTTAAGACCATAGCATGACAAAATGAGCACCGTCATTCAAATTTTCATCCTTCAGTGGGGTATGACTTTAGTAAATCAAGAGAAATTAATTAAAGGGATCGATAACCCTTTAGAGAAACTGACTTGGGAAGAGCCTCACTGAGACTTATGGTTAAGCCATCCACTGGCTGGCACGCCCAAGCTCAGTTCTCCAAACCATAAGGCACTTTCATATTCCCAAAACCGCCACAAAAAAGTGTTCGATTGGAGCACGTCGGTGAATGAGCGGTCAGGGTCGCTGACGGGCAGTGAGGCCAGCTGATTCCTTGGTCCGATCCCGGGCATCCTGCAGGGCACTGGGCCAGGGACATGCGCAATATGGCAAACATTGCATGAATCTAAAAATTTACAACACAGAGGAAGGGAGATGGGTGTGTTTCGTTCCTGTGTGCCGTTGCATAGCCAATGTTTAAATGTTTAAGCGTGCTGCACGGGTGGGTGCAAAGGTCACACGTCCATGTGTGTGCATTACACAATGGCAGACAGGAAAGCAGGTCTGAAAAACTGCACACAGGAGTCACAGAAAATGCCAGAAGAGTGTTTTTATAAGGATGAGTCTCGTAACTCAGACAGCAAAAGGCAGACCTATTAAAACTGCGAAAAATCCGCTTCCATCAGAAAGTATTTTCTGGTTAGTGACCCGATGGTGGGTATGATGTTGTGGCCTGGCTCCGCCATCTGGATGGACACTGACCTGGTATGTATGTTAGTATTAAAGGTCACATGTATTACCTAGTAGTTGCTTTTAGCATAAAGGGCTCGTCGTGCATTGGGGTGCATGCAGTGTTGCCCAAGGTTAGAGACATCAACAAGCGGATGTGAAGAAGAATCACGGCTACTTATATTCAAAATTAATAACTCAGATAAGCAAAAAAACAACTAAAGCCAGCCTCGCCTCTGTAAGGTTAGCCCCTTACAGGGGTAAAGCCACAAATCACTTCACCATTATGCAGGGATTTTCTGCAGTGACTCTGTGGTGAAAATGCATATTGGTGATTCCTCCCAGTTAATATGACTTAAACGAGAAGCCGTTTGTAAATGCTGTCCGCAGGCCCATCGTTCACCAGCCTTTTTTGCAGCCAGGAAACCTTCAATAAATATTAACTGCACGTGCACTACATACTACCAAACGAATAGCAAATGAATAAGGGTGTACAAATAGGGATTAACACATGCACCAAATGCACCATATATCTCCCAGTGTCTCCAGTTTCCACAAGATATTTTTGATAAATTTTTCACTCATATGTTTTTGTTTTTTCCTTTTGTGCTGCAGCTTGACTAGTTCCAGGGAAAACATTGGAACATTCTGCACCTTTATGGTACAAAAAATGATTTTGTTGATGCGCACATAAAGCCACACTCTCTGTCGTAATACTTCTTCATTTCACGTTCTGCATTCTGCTTTATCATTTCTGTTTTGTTTGGAGTTGCATCTCTATCCACAAAAGTCACATGTCCAAAAATAACACTGAAGTTTGGGCTCATACAGACGAGAGCGCTTCAGATGAGGAAACAAAGCCTGTTTGTTTGTTGACAGCAGGCTGGGCCTGTACCTACGCAGCCACCACTCTCACTCCCCTCCCCCCCCCCCACACCCGAGCACTCTGAGAACCCAAAAAGTACACAGGGCAGGGCTATTTTCGTCTGCTTGTTTGTTTGTTTGTTGTTGTGACTCTATGCCTGTTCGGGGAAGGGGGAGTCGTATGCAACTTGGACTGTGTGAATTTTTCTTTTGTTTGTTTTTGTTTTTTTCCTCATTCCCCTGCCCGTTCTCCATTTAGCCGTAAACAGGCTTGACTGCCAGCCAGCATGGCTGGGATTTAGGCCCTGGAGCTCTTGGAATGGGGCAGCATTAAGACTGAGTACCTCCCCTCATTTTATGCATGGAACAGCATTCTTCAGTATCCTCACCTGTTCCAGCCAGAGGTGTGGTTAACTGTGCCAATAAACATCACAGCTGACGGGCAATTAAAGCAGACAGCTATTTAAAGGCGCAGCACCTCGTTCTGGGATATTCCTCATAACGAAAGTATGCATGTGTGCTGCGGGGAGGATTCCGAGCAAGGCTGGCGGTGCCACCCAGGTGTACGTGTGACAAAGACAGCAGGCGAACGTGTGCGGATGGAGGACAGGCAGACAAGCCCGAACGCAGCGGTATCATGCCGAACAAAGCGTGACTGTTTACCGTCTTATGCTGGGTGGTTGGGCAACAGGAAATTGACAAACAGTTGGCCTGGTGTATGCGGGATGTGGAATCTGTTGGGGAATCACCCTGGAATGACCTCCGCATGTAACTGTGACCGGCCACTCTGAACAGAAGCTGAAAGCAGTAGCAGGTGGAGAAGTCCGTGTTCTTCTACGCATTTAAAAAAAAAATTTATTTAGCATACGTTTTTATACAAAGTAATACTTTTTGAGTCCCTGGACCAATCAGGGGCTAAAGGCCTTGGTCAGGGACGTAACAGTGACACAACACTGCTGATCCAGGGATCTGACCCGACCACGTCCTGATCACAGGCACAACATCCAATCCCTTTAAGCCGCACGACACCCTCTCGATGTCTAAGTTCAATGCGGGCCATGTGTCATAACAGTGGATACGTGGGTCACGCCGTGAAGCGGCAAGATCCAGCATTTAAAACAATCAAAAAAAATACAACAATCCGGCCATGTGGTGAAAATATAAAAGAGTAATTGCTGGCAATGTTTACAAACCAGGACAAAAACAGACACATGACAACCTATGCCAAACTGGGCTCTTGAGGTTTCTGAATGGAGCTGGGGGGGGGGTAACAGAAGATTCTGCAAACGTGACCCTGGAGGAACAAATTTTAGAAAAAAAACTGGCGTGTTTGTGCCCAGAAATAAACACTTACATCCAGCAAAAAGAAGGGGGGTTGGGTATTAAAACAGTGTGGTGAGAGGGAACAGTGGGTGGGGCTTGTTTTGTGAGCCACTGTTTACGTTACAAGACAGTGGCTGAGTGTACATCACAAATTATGCGATTTGATTGCCAAGGCAGATCAGAGGGAAGAACAGCATGGTTTCATTAAAGTGCCATAAAGCTGTTTACGGACACAGCTGGGCCTGATTAAACGGTGATAAATAATGCAGCATAAACTTGTTTTTCCTTCTGCTGCACTGTTACATCTGACGGGATACTTCTCTCTAAATCCCCCCCCC